AGTTATCTCAATAAGGAAAATCAACCCAGAGCTTGCCATCCAGGCCCATTTCCCTGGAGCTGGTGAGCAGAAGAAAGGTGCCACACATTGTCTGAGATGAAGACCTGGCACAGCCACTTTGCCTGTGGGAGAGGCTAAAGGGCTAGGACCACATGGCACGGGGCAGTCAGGAGGCAGGGCCAGCTCCGCTTTGCTCTATTGGGAAGCTCATCTGTTGCTTCCGCTAGAGGCTGCAGCAAAGGGAAACCAATGAGCCTTGTAAACATGGGCTGGCTGTGAGCTGGGTAACCTTAAATGAGGTCATGGAGGCTCAGAAATTAAGATCTCTGGTTTAAAGACTCAAAAGCACAAACAGATATTTTAAAAGGTGAAGGAGGCAGTGTTCCTTCTAGACGTTGGGAGAGCAGTCTGGACGGGTCGGCTTCTATTGTAACTCTGAGGGAGGAAGCGCAGGCATTTACCTGGGAGAAGCCTTCTTGTCACCCAGATCTTCCTCGCTGCCTGTGCATGTCAGGGAATGGCCGGGAGCCCAGGGTGACATGAGAACTGTGCTCAGGCCCTGACTGCTGCCTGTTCTGAATAGTGTGAATTTCCTCCCAGCAGCAATTCGCAGAGACCCCAGCGGCTGCAAGCCCAGAGGAGTGCCACAGCTCGCTAAGCCCCGAGACCTTCATGGCGACACGCTGAGAACAGAGAATGGAAGGCTCGCAGTGCCGGGCTGCACTCGGTGCCAGCAAACATCAATGCCACAGGCTCCGGGAGAAAGTCACTATGCGTTTTGAAAGGTCTGAATCTAAGGCAGTGACCTTCCCCTTACCTGGCTGGAAATGATGGCCTCCAAAAGGCAGTGCGTGTGTTTAAGTTCTTTGGGAATGTCAATGCTATTATGATAGGAAAGTGAAAAAACATCTCTGAGGAAAGCCTGAAGGACATGTCATTATTAAGAACTTGGAGACGGGGGGGGGGGGGGGGGGGGAGGGGTCGGGGGGAGTTACTTTTTATAAAGCTTAATGATTCAACAGGCTCGGAGTGTATGTGCTACCTGCTCCTGCAATAGACCAGAGGTGGGAGGCTCCTCTCCGTCAGCAAAGAGGGGCTGGGTGGGCAAACGCCTTTCCAGATGGGGACAGGGTTTTGGAGTCAGAAGAGGTGGGAGATGGGCCTGCTCATGGCAGCAGGCTGGTATGAAGCTTCCTAACTTTTTGTTTTTTTGTTCATCCTTACCCAAAGATACTTCCTCCATTGATTTTTAGAGAGAGTGGGAGGTAGGGAGGGAGAGAGAAAGAGAGAGAGATTGGCTGCCTCCCACCCACACCCCGAGCAGGGCCTAGAGATTGAACCTGCAACCCCAGATTATGTCCTTGCCCTGGATTCAAACCCATGATTCTTCAGTGCATGAGCAGATTCTCCACCCACTGAGCAACAAGGGCCAGGGCTGAGGCTTTTTATCTTAAGGGGATGAAGTTGCAGGCTATCAGGGCAGAGGGAACAGATGAAGCTAGAAGATTAGGAGAAGGGATGACCAACAGAGTAGTCTGGGTAAGACTGTGTGAAGCCTGCAGGGAGTGTCCTGGCCAAGGAGGGAACGTGCTACCAGCCAAGAAGGGCCAGAACAGCCAGTGAGGACACAAGGAGCCACTGAAGCCCTTCAGTAGTCAACACTGAGACTCTGATCAGATCTGGAGGTCAAACCAAGGGCTTCTAGGCCGAGCTATGCATTTGCATACGTCAGCCTGTGTGAACTGCCCTCTGCAACTGGTTGAAGGGAGGAAGAAAGGTTAGCAGAGGCAGCACAAATACTGTGGACAGACCTAAGGCTTTGTAGCCAGACTTACTGTGTGACCTTGGGCAAGTGACTTAACCCCTCTAAGCCTAAATCCTTTCATTTGTAAAATCTGCATAACAATTACGTAGAGAGGCTGCATTGAGGATTCAGTAAGGAATGCATGTGAAACCCCAACACAGTCCCGGAAAAACGCAGGTGCTCCCTAACTGCAGTTCCTTCCCAAAAGCTGGCTTCCGCTTCCACCATTGTATGTCTAGAGCTGTGCTGTCCAATGGGGCCTCCAAAAGTGGCTGGTCTTAACTGAGACGTGGCATCCGTGTAAAACATACAAAACTCTGTGCTACAAAAGTTAAATGTCCTATTAATAATTTTGTAGTGATTACGTTTAAATGATAATATTTTGGATATATTCAGTTAGATAACATGTATAATGAAAATTAAATTCACTTGTTTCTTAAACTTGCTTTAATGTGGCCTCAGAAATTGTCAGATGCCCCTGTGGCTCCCACGTCATGCCTATTGTTCATGCTGATGTAGACGTGAGTGCAAAAGTGCCCTCCAGGCTCAACCAAAATGGGTGGAAGGCTCGCGTGCGCCCCTAGTGGCTCAATGTGGTGGTGGCCCCGAGCCAGGAAAGAAGAGGCAGGTGGTATGTGAGAATCTGTTACCAGGTGGGACAGGCGGGTAGCTAGGGATGGCTAGTCTGTTTTAATCCGGAGCTTCACTCCAGATCCCTCTACTGCTCTGTACTCCGGAGGACGACCTCACTCTCGTTTTTACAGGTTTCCATCTTATACGTGAACTTGACAGGGAGCAGGTTCCCGCCAGGCAGTGACAAACAGGTGTGAGGGCAAATGCCACTGCAAAGCCCCCTTTGAAGACCACAGCATTGCCAGAGAAATGGACAGCAGACACTCACAGACACGAGAATGCTCTTTGTTCTGTCTCCCAAGAAGTGTGGTTGGTTGGTTGTTTTAAAACTGTACATTTTACTGTACATTTTTTTTTTTTTTAGCAAAGGAGAAGATTGGCATTTGTATTCTGACCACAGAATGCTTTCCAAAACCCCAAATCAGAAACATGACAGACACACGCAAGTACATATCATGTCACGACAGAGCTCCGAGCCACTGATGGGAACAGACGTCGGGTTCCCCTCCCCGTGTCCACCACGTTCCCTCAGGTGTCTGAACCCAAAGGCAAAAAGAAAGGTGGTGTTTGGGGCCACTTCTTCAATGGCTACATTTTGAAAGGCTGAGTGAGACAGGTGCAGAGGAGAGGGAGAGGAGGAAAACGGGGTGGGGGAGCGGGAGGTGGGAGACAGTTCAGGTCCCGTCTGTAGGCGCCTCGTGAGCGGGAAATTCCCCTGTGGTCCCAGGAAGAGATTGGCCTGGTCTGTGAATGACCTGACAGGGACGGGGAAGGCAGAGTCACAGGAAGAAGGGAGTGAAAACAGGAGGCAGAGGAAAGGTAAGATGGGAGGGTGGAAAGGAAGGGTGAAGGCATGGGGTTTGGAGGCTCCTGGGTTGGAGCCAGAAGGCAATCCTGCATAGACAGTCCCCACCCTCCTCTGTGCTCTGGGCTGGGGTGGGGCCACAGCTTAGCTCCAGGCCTGAGCCCATCAGGACTTTGCAGCCCCAGATAGATTCACCTGTGTGCTCTGTCTGCTGTGTGGTTGGCAAGTAGAAGGAGGGAGAGGGACAGAGAGGCTAGAATCGTGGCAGAGGCTTGGGAGGGGAAGAATGAGTTGGGGAGACAGTGAGAGGTAGTGCGTTGGCAATGCGGAGAAGCCTGCACCAGAGGCCCGGAGAGACAGATGCGGGCAAGTCCTTCAGAGGCTCCAAGGGCTGTCTCTGTGGGAGGGTGGGGTTGACCCCACCTGGAGGAGCCACGTGCCCCTCCCATCATCATCGTGTCATTTCCACAGATGGATTCTGCTCAGAGCTGGCATCCATGGAAGGCCCTGTACCGCCCCCCCAGAGCTAGCTGGGGGGACAGACTCTAGACACAGAAATGCCCTGGACAGGATGCAGGCCTGGGAACAGATGCCCCGCCCCCAAGAGGAAGGTTGCCTTGGCCTCTGTGCTGACGTGGCCACTCACTCACAGTGTGACCTTGGGCAAGTCCTTCTGTTCTGGGGGCGGGGAGAGAGGGTCATGGACATAATGCAAGCACCGCTTCCAGCTTCCAATCTACAGCACTGGGAAGGCTCAGCTCTTCCTGTGAAGCATCCAGGATCCCCAAACCCAGCGGGATGGGGAGGGACTGCTCTTCCAGGTTGTGTGCCCTGGGGCGCCGAACTGGAGACCTCACATTTAAAGCTCGGGAGTTCATGCATCCTTGAAACTGGAAAAGAACAGGAGGCCTGGTGCAACCCAGTGTTTTGTGATTCAGAGGACTGAAGTCTAAAGAGTTTTCAGTTGGTTGACTGGGTGGTGGCTCTGGGCCCCTGACTAAGAGCATTGGACTCAGAGTCCAGTTCCTATGGCAACCCGCCATGCCACATGCTCATGGGACTTCCTGTCCCAGCTCCCCCCTGAAGAGGCACAAATCCCAAAGGAACTCCAAGAGTTTATATCCCTCAGGCCCTGAGCCTCAGATCCCCAGCCCCTCTTCTGGACACGGGGAGTCCAGGGAGCTGCCTGGGGTTTAAGCTGATGTGATGGATGTGGACAGCCATGTTTGAGAACAAAGGAAACTGGGTCAGTTATGGGGGTCACTCTACCCTCCAACTGGGGGACGGCTGTTAGTAATAAAGGGTCTCCCCCAAACACGTGTGGAACCAGCATCTGCCCCTTCTCTCCACATTGGCAGTAACGGCCATGCAGGGCCCCGGCACTGGCTTTCAGATGGAGAGTGAAGTCCCCGTTATCTGTGTGAGTGAAGAGGGGTGCTTGAGAAGTGGGAGAAAGTAAATTAAGCAATAAAAACAACACTGGAACCGGAAGCAATCAAAGCACTTGCTTAGACGCTGCATTTGTGATTGGAAAGGCATCAGCCTTTCCAGACCCTCAGGGCTCATCTGACACTTGGTGGTCAAGTCCGTTCCCTGAGCACACCCTGCGGGGCAGGGATGGGGCAGGCCTGGGAGGTGCTGGGGGAGTCCACTGTGGGACTCAGCTGTCCCTGGATGTAAACATCACCATGGAAACCCCACAAAGACTTGCCGGTAAAGATTCCCCTTCCACCTGCAGAAGGAGGAGGACACCCGAGCCTACACCGTGCTCTCCATCACCCACTCGGAGCTGCCAAACGTGCCCCGGGCCCCCACAAGGTCACTCTCCTCGAAGGGCAAGAGCATGCCATTGACAGAGAGGCTGCGCTTCGTCCAGATGTTCGAGACCCTCCGAGGGGGGCTGTAGCCACCCGGGGCGCCCCCTCCTGTTGCCACTGCTGCAGCTGCGAAGTCCCCCATGTCAAAGGAATGGCTGCGTTTGGCTTTGCATTCCAGGGGCAGGGGGAGCAGGCTCCTGGCCCGGGCTGCAGGGGGTCCCAGCAGCGGCTCTCGGTCTGAGTGGTGGCCCCTGGTCGGTGTCCCAGACCCTCTCCCGCCTGGAGTCCTGGAGTCCAGCAGCTCCTCCCTCCTCTGACTCTTGAGGTCCAGGGAGGCGAAGGCCCCCATGAGGCGGTCAAGGTTGGGCTTGGGGCGTGGGGCAGGGGGCGGGAGTCTCCAGGGGCCCCGCCCCAGCGCCCCGGCCTCCCCACTGCCCAGGGAGCTGGAGGAGGAGGAGTCACTGCCGCGGGCCAGGCTGGGGCTGAAGTCCAGCAGATCATTGCGCACCACCACCTTGGGCGGCCCCGGGGCCGGGGCGGGGGCCCCGCTGGGCACGCTGCCCACAGCGGGCAGCTGCGCCCCGTTGGTCTGCGAGTGTACATTGCTGACCGCGGTGGCTCCCATCTTGCCGGGGGTGTCGTGGTTGCAGACCTTGTAGCGCACCAGGAGGATGATGATGAAGACCAGCAGCGTGGCCACGATGATGCCGCCGATGACCAGGATCATGGTGCCGCCCAGGATCTGGCTGTGCATGGACTGGCACTGCGGGTAGTCGGCCTTGGTGAAGAACTGGGCGCAGCCCACGATGTTGGTGGCCGTGAGCGTCGTGGCAGTGTCGTCCCACATGGCCAGCACGCACAGGTCATAGCCCGTCCCGGACACCAGGTTGTTGACCACAAAGGCCTTATTGGAAGCTGGGATCATCCTGGGGGGACGGGGGGGACACAGAAGGGAGCGATGGAGGGACAGCAGAGTGGTGGGGGTCAGAGGCAGAAACAGAGGGGGATTGACACAGGACAGGCAGAGAAGTGGGGGCGAGAGAGACAGATGGACACAGGGACACAGTATGAGGCAGCGCAGGAGGGGGGCAGGTGAAGAGTCAGGGAAAGAAGGGGTGGGGCGGAGAGGAGGGGTGGGCAGTGGAGGGGCAGGCAGCGGAGGGGAGCATAGGACATAGTGAAGGAGTCAGGAGGAGAGGACCCAGGTAAGAACCGGGAGAGACAGGCAGAGTGAGGGAAAATCAAGAGCAGGCGTGCCAGAGGGACATGTCCACAGACACCAGCCGTCGACATGGGAAACACCGGCAGAGGTGGGAGTGGAGGCAGGTGAGTGAAAGCAGAGGCAGGGAAGGAGTTTAGAGATGGAGGCACAGAGAAGAAAGGAGAGCCAGCGGAGATGATGGAGGAAACACAGGGAGGGCAGAGGGAGACACAGAGGCAGAGGTTAAAGGCCTGAGAAGCAGCAGAAACTAAACAAAGGGCCCCACCTCCTGCCTCCTGCCCCAGCCCCGCTTAACTTCTGCCATGTCTGCTGCAAATATCCCCGAGGCTCCTGGGAAGGGGAGGGGGTGAGAGTCAGGTCTGCCTGGCCCTGGGCCAGCCCACCTGAAGGCTCGGTCCCCACTTGCCTTCGTCAGCATTGACGAAGCCTCCTCTCGGGGGTCCTGACAAGACCCTGACCTCAGGCCTCAGCCATGCACATCTCCAGATGGCCGTCATGCCTGGGCAGGGAGGTGTGCCAGCAAAGTGGGGGCAGGGCAGTGTTGAAGACGAGAGAGTGATCTTGCTTCCTGGAGGGAAGGACTGTCCTTCGTCACAGCCATAGCCTGCGGGGCGCTGGGATCTGCAGAAAGAGGTGCTCTGGCCGGGGAGGCCTCCCAGGGCCCCTCCACCCAGGGGAGGGTCTGATGAGCAGTGGTCTCCCCACAGTGGGGCCCATCCACAGTAGCCTGGGCTGTTCCTATCTGGATGCCAACCCTGATCTCTGAGCCCTGGTTCAGATATCACACCTGTGCTCTTTCCAGAGGAAGCCTGTGCTACCCATATACCCTCCTGCGGATACACATTGTCCTCAGCCTGAGGGTGCCGGGTCCCCTCCACAGCCTTCACAGAGCTCCCTGCTCCCGGGGCCCCTCCACTCTCCTGCCTCTGCTATTCAAGGGCTCCGTCAGCGGCAGTCAGCTCCTCACTCCCAGAGCCAGGCGACTTAATTGAGACTTCAAATATGAAATTCCGGGGCTGAGAACTTCCGCCAGGGAAGCCCGTGTTCAGGAGGAGAGCTGACAGGCAGGTATTGACGTCCTGTCAGCACAGCCAGGAGCTCTGCCTCCCTCACCTGCCCAGCCGCTCTGCTGGGACGCCACATGGAGGGCCCTTCGTTCCCCCCTCACCCTGAGCCGATAGCTATAGAGCTAGGGGCGGAAGAGGCAGGATCCAGCCAGAGTCTGTGGACACTGCAGAATCCTATGCTCTCATGTCAGGGAAGCTGAATGACAAATACTCAGAGAGGCTAAGTGTCTAGCCCAAGGTCACACAGCTGAATGGCTGGAGTGGGGCAGTTGGGACTTTAACCCCAGCTTGTTGTTCCATAGCCTGGGCTAGCTCCTCCCACAGGACAACCAGGGGCATTTTCCTCATCTCCGTGAGAAGCTGCCTGCCTGCGGCCTGCCAGCCACCTTCTTCCTGGATCAGCGCTCAGTGGCCCCTACACCTCACACTCCTCCACCAGCAGGTCCCCGGCCTGCGGGCCATCTCTGGACAGAGCTGCAGGAGCCCTCTGTGGCCAGTGCTATAGGCCCACTTCCCTCCCCTCGGGGTCATATTGCACATTAGAGAGGCCAAGGCCACCACACCCAGAACAGTGGCAACCGCCCAGCGTAGCTGGGGGCCTGGCTGTCAGTGCCCTGTGCCTGCCACCTCGCTGAGTCAGGCAGCAACTTTCTGAGGTGGCCCCTGGTGGGCTTCTCCTCCTGCAGATGGAGCCAAGTCTGGGCAGGAAGCAGACATAAGGGGACAGACCCAGGGTCAGGAAACAGACATAAAGAAAAGACCCAGGGACAGGAAGCAGACATAAGGGGACAGACCCAGGGGCAGGAAGCAGACATAAGGGGACAGACCCAGGGGCAGGAAGCAGACATAAGGGGAAGACCCAGGCACAGGAAGCAGACATAAGGGGAAGACCCAGGGGCAGGAAGCAGACATAAGGGGACAGACCCAGGGGCAGAAAGCAGACATAAGGGGACAGACCCAGGAACAGGAAGCAGACATAAGGGGACAGACCCAGGGACAGGAAGCAGACATAAGGGGACAGACCCAGGGACAGAAAGCAGACATAAGGGGACAGACCCAGGGGCAGGAAGCAGGCATAAGGGGAAGACCCAGGGGCAGGAAGCAGACATAAGGGGACAGACCCAGGGGCAGGAAGCAGACATAAAGGGAAGACCCAGGGTCAGGAAGCAGACATAAGGGGACAGACCCAGGAACAGGAAGCAGACATAAGGGGACAGACCCAGGGGCAGAAAGCAGACATAAGGGGACAGACCCAGGAACAGGAAGCAGACATAAGGGGACAGACCCAGGGACAGGAAGCAGACATAAGGGGACAGACCCAGGGACAGAAAGCAGACATAAGGGGACAGACCCAGGGGCAGGAAGCAGACATAAGGGGACAGACCCAGGGGCAGAAAGCAGACATAACTGGCAGAGCTGCACCCAAGCCCAGGCAGCCTGGTCTTGTCCACTGAGTCACCACACTCTGCCCCTCATGGGGCACGAGCGATGTGAGAGCAGGTAGATTGGGGATGGGGATAGGCCACTCGTTTATTGAACCTGTGTTATGTGACACGGTTGCCACATTCTGTTGCATTTATTGTTCACAACAACCTCAGGATCCAGGAGGTGAACCACGGGCCCAGAAATCATCTCACTGTTTAAAGCGTCTTCTCTTAGGAAGAAGGGCCTGATCCTAATCCTTATCCTAATACTAATGCTAATATTAATACAATGCCAATGCCAATGCCAATACTAATAACAATAACAATACCATACTAACACCAACACCAACACCAATTCTAATACTGATACCGATACTGATACTGATACTGATCTGATTCTGATGAAGCGGAGTAGTTAACACTGAGGCCTGACTCTGTGCCAGGCAATTTCCTGAGCTCTGTGAGATGATTAATACCCATTAAATCCTCCCTACAGTTGTTGGGGACGTTGTTCCTGCTGCTATCCTCTCCCTTTTATGGATAAAGAACCTGGTGGCACTCCAGTACGTGGCAGAGCTGGGTCTGGCAGGCAGCCTGCCTCCAGCACCTCTGCTCCTGACTGCTGTGCCACGCAGCCACTGCCTGATCTCTGCCCTCCGCAGGCCACTGCGAGGGCTCGGCCTGGCCTCTCTCGCTCTTGCCTCCTAGTCAGGGAAATCATGCCGCGATGGAGCACAGCTGGGCTCTGCTACCCATGATGGTGCGATAGGGCTGACCCTTGGCACCAGGGGTGAAGGGTCAGGCTTGGAAAAGCCCCACACAAGAATTGGCCTTTAGAAGAAAGCTGCTCCTAGTTCGTGTGTGTGTGTGTGTGTGTGTGTGTGTGTGTGTGTGTGTGTGTATGGCAGCCAGGTGGCTCAATACAGCCTCTGGCAGTCAAGTTTGCCTTTACAAATAAGAGCACTAACCGGTGATGACATGCACCACGTGCTAACCTTGTGCTCCGAAGTTTACATGCTTTTCTCTCCCGACAGCCCTGAGGAGGGAGCTCGGCAGCTCTCACTCTCTGGGAGCCCTGGTGGAGCTGAGGGCAGCTCTGGATCCCCTGGGGCTCAGAGCCCACACACCTAGAAGCAGACCGCTCCCTCCTCAGGCAGCAGAAAGACCAACTGCACAGAAAGCCATGTGAAATGGGCACTCCGCGTACTCCAGGACAGACCCCAACTCATCTCCTGCCCATGTGGTCTTGTCCACCCCCTCACAGGCCCCCACTGGATCAACCATTGAATACCAGGCCAGATCTGGATCTGGAATCGCCCTCGATGCCCACCCCCTCTACCACCCTCTCCCACCCCCCTGCTCCCTGGCTGGCAGTCCCCCTCCAGATTCCTCCACACTCTCACATTGGCTCAGGCCTCAGGTCTCTGATCTGGATGAATGCCCAGCCTCCCACCAGTTTCCCCTCCTCTGTTTGTGCTCACAGAGCTGTATCTGACTGAAGCACACCTCCAGCCCTGCCCTCGTTTCGGAGACCCGCTCCAAGGGCCGCCCATGACCTGGAAGGCACAGACCAAGCTCCTGAGCTGAGCTCCCACACCGGCTGCCAATCACATTCTGGGCCTTCCACCCACACACCCAACTTGATGCACATTCTTTAGGGAAACACTGCACATCGGCCAGGCTTTTCAGGGCAGAAGGCCCACTCCCAGAGGGACCCTGAGACTTTACTTACAAGACCAACTCATTACCAAAGGGGGCGGGGTAGGAAGTGGGGAACCATGAGGGATTGTGTGATAACTCATGGTTGGCAGCACCAGGCTGTGACCCTCTCTGTGTCTGAGCACACCAGTGGAGGTCACCAAACCCTACACCATCCGGATGCTGGCCCCTGAGCTGTCACTTCTGGGTCCATGAACAGGCGGTGCAGAAATGTAGAGTGAGCACTGAGAAAGGGGCACCGCCGTTTGGCACTGATGGTGACATCCAAGGGCACGACCCCTTTCCTGGTTTATTTCTATTATATTCTTACAGGAGCACTGGGCTGCCCGGGAGGGGGGGGAGAGGCAGCTCCAGCCCTTCACCACGTGCAGCTGGAGCAGCGCCAACAGGGCAGTGTTTTTTAGCCGGGGCTGAGGGGTTCTTGGTGTGGGCGGCTGTCCTGTGCACCAGAGTGTCTCAGCATCCCGGCCCTGCCCTACAGGATGCCAGTGGCA